AGTTTAACGAGGGACAAATCGGAAATAAGGAGAAGTATCAAAAGAAGTTTGATTAAATCCTCGGACTCCGAGGAGAAAAAAACATGAGATTGTCATACGGTTTTTTTCAACAAGCAGGCAGCATTTTCTCGAGAAATTTGATTATTCGTTGTAGTTCTATCGCTGGAAAACGAACCCTGCAGATCGAATTTGTGACCTGGTTTACAATGGCTCGAACAACCAAAGTGATAGGGCGACTAATTTATTAAATACCATTTAAATGCAAGGCGGAGCTTTAAACAATTTGAATTGTTAAAAATCTGTCTTTTTCAATAAAAATTTCGCTTTGCACCTGAATGTTCTTAATTTTATTCTCTTGACGCCAAAAGATGTGCACGGGAAGCTCTCGAAACATTTTGGCATTGTTTGTCTTCTGAGGGCGAAACAATAAATGACGACGAGTATTTTTACTGCGGGGAAGGAAATTATGGGAAAGAATATTCATGAATTACCATAAATGGGTTTGAATTTTGCGCCTATCTCATTATTATTCATAATATCAAATCCTTAAGAAAACAGAATATGTAAATAGTCGTCAAACAAGTACTCACATCGATTTCACTGAATTACTGAAGAGAGAAATAACAATTTGTATCTTGAATCAACGTTGAAAGAAACAAGAAACCATGCTGTCATACATTCGTCGAGCGCAGAGACGGAGAATGTACGAAAGAGCGAATTCTGACAGCGGATGTACCAACGACCAAGAGACTCCAAGTTCGCCTGTTTCTTCGCCTGAAAACGGACCAAAGAGCGAAGGCTTTCATTTTTATTCCAGCGTAAAGAAGCAACATTCTCTGCCGGAGGTGGGAGCGAAAACTTCGTCGACGAACGCGAGAACGAAGAACGAAAAAAGGGAGGAAAAGGTGAACGATCCGAAGACAGTAGAAGTTTCTCAGCAGGCGAGAACTGGATCAAGTACACATGGATCGCTTTAATTCTGAGTCTTTTTTTCTGGATATTATTTCTTCTTTTAGACAGAGTCTGGGATAAGCCGGATATTTTTGCTACACGTAAATGAAGCAGAAATGAAGAAAATATCGTGTTGGAATTGACTGGCT